GGGGACTGGGCTCTGACCCCTGCCCTCCACCGCGGCTGCCTCTGCAGGAGGGCGACGCTCTGGGAGCCATGGAGAAGCTGTGTCGGCAGCTGACGTACCACCTCAGCCCTCACTCCCAGTGGCGGCGGCACCGGGGGCTGGTGAAGAGGAAGCCGCAGGCCTGGTGAGTCATGGTCACCTGCAGTGGGTCTGCCCTGCTCCCCTGCCAGCCTCCTTCTACAAGGGCAGCCCAAAGACAGCCTGTGTCAGGCTGGGTGTGTGATACACAGCACCCACTCCCAGGCCAGCAGGGCAAGGGCAACGGCTGGACCAGAGGGGGTTGTCTTGGAAGGCTGCTTGAAGGAGGTGGGATGGAAAGAGAATTCGGTGATGGGGGAAGCAGCCAGGACGGCATACCAGGTGGGCATGAGCTACGAGAGGCCCTGGAGACAGGGCCCTGGTCTGTGGGGTGGGGGCTGGGGGATATGGGCCCATTCCAATGGACTGGGGCGGGGCATGGATATCTAATTCCTGGTGTACTGCACTGAACACGGGCACGCGCACTGAACCCCTCAGTTCCCCTAGTTATCCCCTAGGGCGACCCAGGCCCTAGGCATATCCCTGGTTCATGCAACAGTGAGGACCCTCCCGGGGTTTGTGGCCCCCTGAAGATTCCGGGAGGGGTGGCACATGGGACAAAGAACCTGTGGGCCATGACAGGAAGCAGGTGGAGGGGAGCCTGGAAGGAGGACTTCTGGGAGGAGGAAGCATCTCTGCCTCTCTTGTAAATGGCCGTGAGGCGCAGCGCCTGGCCTCCTGAAAGACGGGCTGGGCCTCGCTGCTGCTGTGGGCCCGTCCTTCCAGGAGCCGCAGCCGGGGAGAGGCCAGGCCAGCCCCTCTTCCCTTCTGGACAACCCCACCACCCAAACCAAATGAAGGCAGGTCCTGGGGAGACCTTCCCAAGTGGAGGAAGCGAGGCCCCCACTGGGCTGAGGGCAGGGGCCATAAATGGGGATAGAGCAGGACAGGAGAACACACGGGACCTGGAAGGAAACTTGGGGAGCTAGTCTTCAGGATTGAAAAGCTGGAAACTGGAGCTCTGTCGGAGTCCAGGGCCCCTTCTGCTACCTCCCCACTGCACATGCGTGCTCAGTTCATTCTGCATTCAGGAGCCTCGCTCTCCACAGGTGGCTTTTGGTCACATCGAGTGAAATGCAAACGGCCTGTGTGATGGGTCCTCAGCCACACACACCCCCCGCCCCTGCTCTCCTGTGCCCCCACCCCTCTTTCCTCCCTACTAGTTCTCAGACACAGCAAGTCCGTCCAGCCTCAGGGCCTTTGCACAGCACTCCCGCTACTGGAGTTCTTACCTGATGGCCTGTTTTTTTCTTTCTTTGCCTGTCAGCTCAAATGTTACCTCCTCAAAGAAGCCCTCTGCCGAGGAGCCATGCCCCCGAGCTACTCTCTCACTTTACTCTAGGATCGTGTTGTTTGTTGGCCAGCCCCTAGCTGGCAGAGTGAAAAAGGGGTCTTGTCCACCTTGTTCACCGCGGTAGCCTCAGTGCCTAGAGCAGCACCTGGCACCTAGTGGGAGCTTAACAAACACTTGCTGAAGGGTTGACCAAGGTCAGGGCTATTACTGTTACCGTTTGGCTGGCCATGATCAGCCAGCTGGTAAGCCGCAGAGCTGGAATCAAACCCCAGGCTCAGGTTGTTAACCAATTTACCTATTGGTTAACAACCAATACCTATTTTCCTGGCATAACAGACCTGCTTTATTAATGACATCGATAAGAATTACAGCCAACACTTAAATCACGCTAAGCAAATACCAGGCGGTGTTCCAAGCCCTTAAGATGTCATGCTCTGAAAGCTTTTCCTTAAACTCCCTGGGGCTGGGCAGGGTGAACAAACTATGGATGGCCATCTAGCTTCAGGAAGTCCCAGGGTGGAGGGTAGGGGTTTGACCAGCTCAGGCTGTTAATGGGCCCTCCCACCTCCCTCTCCTTCCCAGGGCTAGGTCCTCAGGGCTCGCCTGGGATACCGGGAAGTAGGGGGCTGTGGCCCCAGAGCGTGGGGCAGGGAAAGGAGGAAGAGCAAGGACAGGCACAAGGCAGGGAGTGCAGAGCACTCCGCCTCCAGGAGTTGGCAGCTCCTGCACCTTCCCCGATGGCAGGGATCCTGGGGAGATCTCCCTAAGGATCCCCATCTGGTGAAATCTTGTTACTCTCACAGAAGCAGGAAGCTCAGCCCAGGTGATTAATAAGGACAGCAGTAAATATTTATCCATCACTCACCCAAACCAGGCACTGTTTCAAAGGTTTTGCATTTATTAACTTACTTCACGTAACAGTCCTGTCGCACTCAATTAGCTCCATTTTCCAGGAAAGTAACTGAGGAGCGGAAAGGTTAAGGACCTAAAGGTCACACTGAGTAGGAAGGAGTTGATGCAAACCCAGGCGTCGTGGCCCCAGACTTACCCTTGGTCACTGCAGAACACTTGGGCTTTTGCCTTGTGGTCGCTCAGGCTCTGGTCAGCTGGGCCTAGCCAGGCTGAGACGGGGGCTAGAGCCAGGGGACCAGGCCTGTTTCTGTCCGCCCCTGGAGCGGAGGCCGACTCCATGGTGCTGGCACTGCTGCCTGGGAGAACGGCCCTGCCCCACTTACCTGAACCTCGCTCGTCCCTTCTCCCCTTCAGCCTCAAGGCTGTCCTGGCTGGAAGCCCACTGGACAACACGGTCGACCTGTCGGGCATCCCGCTGACCTCCCGCGACCTGGAGCGGGTGAGCAGCTACCTGCAGCGCTGCGGGGAGCAGGTGGACAGCGTGGAGCTGGGCTTCACGGGCCTCACCGACGACATGGTCCTGCAGCTGCTGCCGGCACTCAGCACGCTGCCCCGCCTCACCACGCTGGCCCTCAACGGCAACCGGCTGACCCGAGCCCTGCTGCGCGACCTCACCGACACCCTGAAGGACCCCAGCAAGTTCCCCAGCGTCACGTGGATTGACCTGGGAAACAACGTGGACATCTTCTCACTGCCCCAGCCCTTCCTGCTTAGCCTGCGCAAGCGCTGCCCGAAGCAGGGCCACCTACCCACCATCTTGGAGCTGGGCGAGGGCCCAGGCTGTGGAGAGGAGGTCCGGGACGGAACCGTGGGCCAGGAGGACCCTGGAGGGGACCTGCTGGCTCCTGCCAAGGACCAGGAGGGCAGGGAGACTGCAGGTGCGGGTCAGACGTGACACGAAGTGGGGGCCTTGTGGGTAGGATGGCTGAAGCAGACTAATGGCTCCTACCAGGACCCTCAGGCCATCACAGAACACAGGCCTGGGCAGCCCCGCCCATGGGAAGCCAGACTGCAGAATCTGGAAAAGGCAGGTTGTGTAATGCTTCTCCCCGTCTCCCTCTTCCCCCTTGTGATCTTTGGCTGCTGAGAAGTCATCCCTGACTCAAAGTAATCCTCAGCCTTCTCGGATTTATGGGTTGGGGATGCTGGTAGCTTGAGGTGTGAGTGGTGCATGAAGAGCTCTTTCCCAGAAAAGGAGAGTAGTTGGGGCCCGTATAGCCAACCCGACTTTCTGATTCTCCATTACAGTTGTTCTGTCCAGGGCAGCAAACTCCAACCAGATGCAAAACGTGCCCCTGCTCCAGGCAGGATGGAATCTCAGTAGCTCTCCCCACAGCGAAGGAGGTTGGGGAGGAGTGGCTACCAGGTTCCAGGAGCCCAGGCTCCCTGTGGACGATGGAGGCCATCCACCTCCTCTTCCCACCGCCCCTTCCTTGAGCAGCCCTGGGCTCCTTGTAACCAACTTCCCAGTCTCGGGCCTCAAACCGGTTGCTTCCAGAGGCCTGCCCGAGGAACCAGCCATCCCCTTTCAATACAGAGCATCCTAGGTTTTGTCTGGAGCAGGTAGTACCCACACAGGTATGCATGGGAAGGCCCACTGAGAAGCCCCATACCATAATCCCCCCTCCCACCAGAGATGACCAGGCTGCAACATTGGTTCTAGTGTTGCCAATGTGCGGGCCGGAGCACTGCCCCCTTTTAAATAAGGTTTAAGGACACTTCCCAGAAGTCCCACTAGTCCCTGAAGTATCCTTGACACTTTGATCATATTCCCAGAACCTGTGATGGAAGGCTCTTAAACATCCAGGACAAGAATGATGCCAAAAGCCTTTCTGGGAATTCCCGACAGACCTACTGTCTCCAAAGACAGCTAGGAGTAAAACGAAGTCCCCAAAAGCAAAGGTTTTCACGCACCCTTACCCAAGGCCTACCCACTTTAAAAAGACAGCAAGATGGGGCTGTGCTAAGAGTGTGGCTAGGCAGTGCACAACTTCAGGAGTTAGTAGAGGAAGGCCAGACAAAGGGGCAGAGCCCAGGGGAATTAGGGACTGGACTCAAGTATATGGATGCCTTAAACACTTTGGAATTTTCATCCTCAAAGTCTAAAGACAACAGCTTAGACCACAGGGGAGTTGACAAGTGGACTGCTATTTGACAGCAGTGATCAAATTTAACTCTTCCTTCAAATACACATTTTAAGAGTCAATACCAAAGACCATCCTTTATTACAATGTTAGTTTATGGTAATTATACATGGATACTAACCAACCTTAGGAGGAAGTTTCCAACTTAAACTCAGACTCTTGCCCAATATAGCAAATACAGAATTAAAATGTACAGAAGCTCCTTTTGATCAAGTTACAATACTAGAAAACTCAAGAATTTTAATGATGCTTAAGTGCTTGTCCTACACGAAGGCTGCCAAATCCATTTCTTGGACCTATGGTTGTTAAAAGCATCCTCTCTGATACTGGGCACAAGGTGAGAATGTTTCTACACCAAATGTTGAAGCCTAGGGTTTTCAAAGTCCAGGTTGATGGTGGTACTGGTCCTGGCGACTTCAAATTCTGCCCCTGCCGCAGATGGCTGACCATCCTCTGGAAGAGCATTCTGCAAAGACACTAAGTATCAGCCACACCTTCTGCTCCCAACAAGAGTCATTCACAGCCTAGGATATCCTCAGAAAACCGTACATTCACCACTACACAATCTGCCGGTAATTCCAGCTTATTTTGGGTGATCTCATCATTTGATATCCTTTATTTAATTGTAACAGAACTAGCTGCTCATTCATTCCACCAAGGGCCGATGGCATCCAGATGAAACCTCACCTCTCCCCAGGGGGGCCGCCGCCATCACTAGCTTTCAAAGTGCAGTGATCACCACCCTTCACACTCAGCACCTGGGGGGATGAGAAAAGCACCCCGTCAGCAGATGTAGTTCTGATCCTACTGGCCTCAACTACGAATTTAAGTGCGTCTGAACAAGAATCCCTAGGAACTTAGTCCTAATTGGCTTCTTGGCTGTTGAACAGCCATTTAGTCAGTATTTTAAACATCACAAACCCAAGGCTGTCACTTTTTAGAGTGAGAGAAACCATATCTGTGAGCAGTCAGTTTGCTCAGGCTTATACAGCCATCGGGTAAATAGGCACCCCTGGGCCCCCACTCAACCCCTGGCCTCTCCAAAGGCCGAAGCTTACCTCCTGGCCCGCCCACGCGGCTCCTCACACCAGCACGCGGCTCCCGGCAGCCCGTCATTCATTTGCGACCTGGGTGAACAAAGAAATTAAGGGTCACAGCTCAGACGGGCTTACTCCCGGGCACCAGCAACCCGAGGACTTGCCGGCTGCAGTCAGCCAGGAGCTACCCTCAGCTATCGATTCGGACGGCACTTCCTGCTAATGACCTCAGCAGAGCAGCCAAGCTCCCCCTCCCAGCTCTGCTCCCGAGCCCTGCACATGACCTGGAATAAACGAATGCCCCTTAACAGGCAGGAGACACCTGAAGGCAGTTTGTTTATGCATCTAGGTGCGATTTACGTACTCCAGGTTGGAGGCAGCCACCTCCTCGCCATTGCAATTAGGCAATGGGGTAGTCCATAATAAACACGTAAAAATTACAACTGTGCAGCATCAAGCAATTTCACTGCATTTAAGGTAACAATACAGCTAAGTTCCATATTAATTCCTACCTAGACCAGGTCTTACCTCAAGGTGGGATGCTGCTCCCCTCCTCGGTACTCTTGAGTCTGCCGCCTGAAAATTGAAGACGGACATGCATTTAGGGCAGATTCTAGAAGTTACAGACAACTAAACTATTAAGGTTTCAGCGACTGCGGTCAGATAGCATAAAAATCGTCAGTTATCGCATCTGACGGCACTTCCTAATATTAGTATCATCAGGACAGTCACGCCAGTCTTCCTCGTGGTCCCTGTGCAGGAAGTCCCCCACTTACCCTGTCCCCTCAGATCTGATCACTCCCAACAGTGGGACCACCGAAAGGAATCCTGGCTTTCGGGGACCTCAGGCTCGCGGCGGGAGGGGGCCCTGCACCCCGGCAGCGTGGCGCGGCCCTGCCGGGCCCTGAGCCGACCACAGCGCCCGCCCCGACGCCCACGTGCGCGCAGCCGCTCGCTGGTTAGGCTTCCCGAAAACATCCCGCCAAAGTCAGAAAAGCTAGCTCGTTCGCCCTCGCCACCAGCTACGAGCGGCAGACGTGAAGAGAACTTCCCCAGCCCAGGTTACAGTGAAAAAGGTGGTTCGTGCCGTCTCCGAGGCCCTTAAGGAGTTGGGACAGTCCACTCTTCACAGAAGGGAGGGTGATGTCGGCAAAGACTCACGGGAACTTCCACCGCGTTTAACCAGACTGGCGCCGCGCCCCGCAAGGACTCCCCCTCCTTTAGAGCCACGGTCGCCTCGTCGGCCGCGGGAATTCTGGGCCGCAGGCCGGGGAGCCCAAGGCGCCTGCGCGGGCTGCAGCGCGCCGCGCGGGGAGTGGCTGCCGCCTGGCTGCGTGACCTTGAGCGAACTGCTCGTCTTTTGTGAGGTTTCCATTGCTCGTCTGGAAATGGAAAGCCGCCCGGCGCCGAGGGCTGTTCTCGGGATCACACGAGATAACGCCGTTGAAACCCTGCAGAGCCTTGGCACGGCACGCAGCGAGCCAGTGTGCTCGCCACTCACAATTCTGAAAATACACACAGACCCTCCAGGCCCATCTCTATAGAAAGGCCTCTGAGGAGCGGGCAGCCATCCTGCCTCCCCCGCCCCTTTCCTGATCCCCCAGGGCTTCTGTACCGCATCCCCTGGTGACGGGACACGGGCCAGGCGGGAGCGGGTCTGCTGAGGGCCAGCTGTAGCGTGTGGGCTCGACTTCTTTCAGGAAAGATTTTACAACATGTGTACAGGTGACTATGAGGATGCAGATACTAAAGCTGGGGACAGTGAAACAAGGGGGCTTCGCATAGAAGAAGCAACAGGAGAGCCCAGGCGGGCTGCCTGACCTCACTGGGAAGCCAGAGAAAAGGGGGCTTTGGGGACAGGGTCAGGGGATCAGCCTGGGACAAGGGGCAGCAGCCCGCTGCTTTAGAGTTTAGGAGATGTGTGCCTGTGGGCAAAGAACTGGGGGGAGAAGGAAGAGGAAATGGCGGAGGCTGTTCCCCAGAGGGGAAGCACCTGTGCTGGGTCCTTCGTCTTGAGGCTTCTATCACTCCCCTTGCTGGTGGGAACCTTAGGGGAGGGCTCAGGGGAGGGGTTCAGCAGAACATTCATCAGTTCCCCAAGTGGGACCTCTCAGGGTCCTGGTCTCCACTGATGGGTCAGCGACAGGGCAGGGGTCTTTAGTCTTCCCAGTTGGTCCTGGTGTCGCCCACCCGGTTTTGCTGCTTTTCTGGGCCTGGAGCTGAAACGCAACTGAGGCCTAGATGTCATCTCCAGGGAAAAAAGGCTGCCCTGGGGGTGAGGTCCTTGTTTCCCCAGTTTTGCCCCCTGCCAGGCCTCCTCCCCCCGCCCCCCGCGGCCCTCTGCAGCTGGCTGTACATGGATCGGCCACTGTGTTCAGCTCTGTGTTTCCCTAGTCCACTGGCCGAGGAATTTTCTTGTCTTCTTGCTGTCCTGTCTCACCTCTATCTCAACAGCAGTGGAAACCTCTGCCTTCCTTTCAGCATAGGAAAGGTCTTCCCCACTCAAAAAAAAAAAACCCCCAAAAACCAGGCTATTGTGCACGCACATTATATAAACACATTACCCTAAGGGAGAGCAATTCATTTTGACTGAAGTAAATTGGAAAGGCTATAGCGAGACAATTCTTGAGCTGGTCTTAGAATAAGTGCAGTATCTGACGAGTGAGGGGGTTTCAGCAAGAGCCAAGTCAAGGGATCAGACAGGCATGAGGTCCAATCGGCCTGTGCGAAGAATTTATTGAAAGTGCCGGGGGAGGGCGTAGCAGGGCGTATGGGAGGAGAGGGGTCTGGAAATGCTCGGGCAAAACTGCAGAGGGCTGGGGGTGCCTTCTAGTACATCCTGTGCGTACTGGGGAGCCTCAAGCCTTCAGAGCACGGCGGTACCATGTTTCTCTGTCAGAAAGTCCCCTCTGGCTGCTCTGCAGAGAACGGCTCTCAGGGGTGTAAACTGAGCAGGAAGCCCAGTGAGGACAGAGAGCAATAATCTGGCGCCTAAACTAAGCTGAGCCGCTCAAAGGCTTCGAAGAGGCCTGTTGGAGGTGGCTTTCCAGTCTGGAGGCTGCGGGGGAGAGAGAGTCCGCCGCGCCTGACCGTGTCCACCAGCACACATCTGCCGGAAGAGCGAGCGCAGCACCTTGGCCAGCTCCCTGCGCTCGGCGGGGCTGGTCTCCCGGGCCAGGTGAGGGCGGGAGCAGCCCAGCCCCAGACACAGGCTCGTTGTCCCAGTTACTCAGATGTCAATCATCCTAAGGACCCGGAAGCTTTTCTCAAATGTTTCCAGGAGAACAAGTCATGAGAAAATATCTATTTATTTGCCACCAAAGTTCCCTAAAGCCCCAGAGCCAGTAGGTAAGGCAGGAGAGCTGTCCTGGCCCTGTCCTGCCCACTGCCTGCTGCGTCCAGGCCATTAGTTGGACTTCAGGACCTGGAGGGGAAGACGGTCTTCCTCCAAGGCACTGTCCTCCCCGGCTTGGGAGGCCAGGGTGTGGTTCTTCGTGGTGCCTGTAAATGGGAGAAGGAGCACTGTGACTTGGCCCTAGGGGTGTGTCCCCCGGAGGCAGGCACTAGGGAAACAGGAGGAGGCCACAACTGTGAAGCCACATCATGCCCTGTGCCTCTAGTCCCCAGCAACCCCTCTTCCTGCCTCCCTCCTTCCACAAGCATTTCCTGAACCCCTGCCCTTAGGCTCCTCCCAGGAGCTTAGAGTCTCTGGAGGTGACAGGCTTTTGCATTAGAAACAAGAACACCTGAAACTTCCTGAAGAGCTGGAGGGAAGTGAGAGTTAGGTGTTCACGGAGCTCACAGAAGAGCAGGGACCCAAACCACAGGGCAGGTGGCAGATCTGGACACCCAGAGGAGCAGGGCGGGCACTTGTGGCAGATACAAGAGCTAACTAATGCAAAGAGCAGGAGCACTGATGGTGGACTGGCTGCCACATGGACAGAGGTGTGGGGGATGGGTTGGACAACGGCTTTGGTCCTTGACCTCCCTGCTGAAGGGCAGGCCCTCCAGGCAGTGGGAGGCCTTGTGCAGTGTGGGCCCGGTGTAGTTTGTCTGCAAGAGGAGCTGGGCAGGGATAAACCCGGAGCAGGAAGACTTGTCTGGAGGTCTAGGGGCAGGCTGAGCCGCCCTGCAGTGGTGCAGAATCAGGAGAAGGGGGCGGTGCAGAGGGGCACAGGGCAGTCCGTGGGGTCCCGAGGACACTCAGCACGGTGAGGGCAGGGGGTGGGGTGGACAAGAAACCCTCAAGGCCCCCTGCCTGGGGGAGGAGGGTGGAGTTGCGGTTACCTGGTAGGGCAGCCCCGAGGCTGCTCTGTTCAGGGTGTCCGCTGGAGGCCCCAGCAGGCAGTGGGGTGTGGAATGAGGAGCAAGCAGACTCTCAGAATCTTGGCAATGAAGTGATGGGGGATCAGGACTCGGAATTAAGGACAAAGAGAGGGTGGGTGGGAAACCTATGGGTTTGTGAGGGTCTTGGTCAGGGACTGGGACCTTGGGAAACCAGTAGGCTTTGGAGCAGGAGGCCAGAGGAGTCCCCTCGACAGGGGTCATGGGTGGTGCAGGAGGCTGTTGTGGGAGGGGTTGGGACTAGAGGCACAAGCAAGTGGAGTCTGACAGAGAATGAGAAAGGAGAGGGGGAGCTAGCAGATGAGGTAAGAGCTATTGAAGGTTCCAGAAAGGGTACGCTGTGGAGAGAACTAATTCTCGGAACAGGCCTCTGGGTGGGAGGAAGGGGTCACTTGTGGTGGGAAGCAGCAGGGTGAGGACAAGGCAGGCTACAGCCACGCTGGCTGGGATGAAGAGGGCACAGGCAGCGGCTTCCCATCCCAGGTATGGAGGCTGGAGTGGGGAAAGAAGCTGAGGGCTTGGGTCAGCAATGCTGACCAGGACAGAGCCGGTAGGGGCTTCCAGAGATGCCACCTGAGCTATGAGCTGGGTGGCGCACCGCCCCCAGCCCCCGCCCACCCCCGCCCTGCAACTTGTTGCCCTGCTGGGTCTCCAGGCTTAGCCCAGGCCTGGCACTTGAATGGGCACATGGTGCAGTGGGGCAGAACCTGCCAGGAGGAGGGCGTGGGGATGAAAGAGCAGGAGTGAGGAGAGGCTGAAGGCTGGGTTTTCCCAGGCCAGCCAAGAGGTGAGCGTGGAAAGGATGGCAGGAAGCACCACTTTAAGGGGGGAAATTTTATTTTTTCAGATTTTATTTATTTTTTAGAGAGAGGGAAAGAAACAGAGAGAAACATCCATGTGTGGTTGCCCCTTAAGCGCCCCCTACTGGGGGCATGGCCCGCAACCAGGCATGTGCCCTGACTAGGAATCGAACCAGCGACCCTTTGGTTTGCAGGCCGGCACTCAATCCACTGAACCATACCAGCCAGGGCTAAGAGGGTGCCATTTCTTTAAATGAGTGTAGCTTGGGAGTGGCCACAGCAGAGGCTCAGACCCTCCATGGCTGTGTGGCCAAGCAGACACACACAAATGCACATACGAACACATGCACATAAACACATACATGAACACACACACTGTCTCTCACCAGGGCTACTCACCGGGCCCTGAAGGCTCCTCGAACACCGTAGGCAGCGTCTGCTCCCAGGCAGCCCAGTTCACTTCCTCCACCCTGAGGGCAAAGAGCGGCTCTGAGGCAGCCCAACACCCAGGCGGCGCCCTCTGCTCGGCCCCAGGGGGCGCCTGGCCCGAGTGGGTGGGCTGAGCAGACACTCAGGGAACACAGGGACTGCAAGGAGGATGGTGTCCTCTGCCCTTCTCCACGGGACACGGGACCCCCCACCACACCGCCAGCCCTGCCCTTGCAGCCGTCCCCTGGCCATCGGAGGAGAAGCCTGGCTGGCATTCACCGGCCGCCCTTCCCGGCCCCTCACTCACCTGAAGCACCAACGCTCGTCGGGGCTACCGTCTGGCCTGGTGCCAACTGTCAGCTTCACACCCGTCCGCTGCTTCTTCCTCCTGCACCACCAGTAGCCGTTCTCCATCTCCAGGACAGAGATGGCTTTCTGGGGATAAAGGACACATGAGACAGAGCAGCCAGGAAGATGCGCCACACACTTGACCGTATAACCCCAAGCCGCTGAGCACGCAGGCTGGAGTCCGGCCCCAGTGTTTGATGGCCTGTGTGGCATTAGGCCCTTAATGCCTCTGTTTCCTCACTTACAGACTGAGGATAATGTGCCCATTGGTTTGGGGGAGGTCACCATGTACAGAGTGCTCAACAATTACTTGCGATTGTATCATTACAGGTCCCAGAACTTCACACCACCCATGTGCCTGACCACTGGTATGCAAGTTAGGTGGGGACAGAACTTTGCCAGTGGGGACAGGGAGTCTCAGAGAAGACAGGGGCTTACCCAAGGTTAACAGTGAATTGGGAACACCGTCCAGCCTCCTGGGCAAGGCTTTCCCTACGCAAACTGCCCAGACCTGCATCCGGCCCTGCCCTGGTCAAGAAGAAGCTTCACTCCCTCCACTGTACGTGGGTGTCATATAGGCCACCAGCTTCAGGGACCTCTGGTCCCCCAGTTCCCCCAAGCTGAGCCAGCCTCAAGGTGGCACAGCCTGCGCGCCTCGCTCTCCAAGTCATCCCCGTTTAGCATACGATGAACACAGAATGGGAGCTACGTGAGGGCTGGCTTTGTCTTGTTCTCTGTTGTGTGTTTAGAACCTAACACTGTGTCTATCCCCAAAGAATGCACTCAGGAAGTCCCCAGTGATAATCACGATGATGGTAACTAACACATTGAGCGCCTACAGCTCGGTCCCCACAGCAACCCTGGGCCCTGGGTCTGCCTTGGGTGGTCAGTGCAGCTGGGCCCTGCCCGCTCCTCACAGCCCACACCTTGGGGACAGGGAGGGGAGCCTCCCCGGGGCACCTGCAGTTTCCAGATGCTCCAGCTGTCAGTGGCGACACTGTTGACAGTCTCGCTCATGAGGGCGATGAGCATGTTGAGCAGCAGGATGTAGGTGAGCAGCACATAGGCCAGCAGCAGCAGCAGCACAGCCCCGCGGAAGCGCAGCTGCTCCTGGAAGGCCAGCTCGCCCATGCCGATGGTGAACTTGAAGAGCTCCAGGGAAGCGTCCAGGATGCCACTGTACGGGGCTGAGCCGCCCTCCTCATCCCTCGCGGCCTCTGTGGCATTTGACCTTGTGGGGGCTGCGGGGCCCTGCGCCTCCCGGCCCAGGCTCACCAGGGCTGTAGGATGGTAGAAGGGGTCCTCAGCCTGGGAGGCCAGCAGGCGGACTTGAGGGCTTACAGGGCAGGCAAGGGATGGGCAGGGGCGAGAGGGGGGCCTTTACCTACAGCGAAGCCAAAAAGGAAGACTAAGTAGACCAGAAGGAAGCGGAGCAGGTCCCGCAGAATAACCTGGAACACATGCAACAGGAGCTGGGGTGGGTGGCTGGGCCACCAGACACGACCCCAGGCCCTGCCTTGGCCCTGAGCATGGGTTCCTATGTACACGCCCCACATACACACACGTGTGTGCATACACAGGGCCCTTTGCAGCTATACTGAGCCAATGGGTCTTTTAAAAATCTACATCAGATCACACAATTTTCCTGCTTCAAACCCTCCAGAGTCAAAAAATTAAACATGGAGTTACCATATGATCCAGCAATTCCACATCAGGGTAGGTACTTGAAAGAACTGGCAACAGGAACTCAAGCAGATATTTGTACACACCAATGTTCACAGCAGCATTATTCACAATACAAAGCGTGGAAATAACCCAAGTGTCCATCAATGGATGAAAGGATAACAGAATGTAGTATATCCAGAAAACGGGATATTAATCAGTCTTAAAAAGGAAGGAAATTCTGACATGTTACAGCAGGGATGAATCTTGAGAACATTATGCTGAGCGAGATAAGCCAGTGACGAAAGGACAAATACTGCGTGATTCCATTTATATGAGGTATTAGAATAGCCAAGTTCACGGAGACGGAGAGTAGAGGGTGGTTGCCAGGGGCTGGAGGAGCGAGTGGGGAGCGAGTGTCTCCAGGGAACAAGGGTCCGGTTTGGGGGAGTGGAGGTCCTGGGGACGAGGGATGGGGAGGGGGCACAGCGATGTGGATGTGCCTGAGGCCGCTGAGCCGCGAGCACTGAAACATGGTTAAGGGGGTGCATTTGTCATGTATATTTTATCATAATTTTTTTAAAAAGTTGTAAAGCCTCCTGGGCCCCTGGATCTGTCCCAACGGCAACAACCAACACCCCCCCCCCACATCCCTCTCCCTCACTCTCCCCAGCCCGCGCAATCTGTCTCAAGCCCTGTCCTACGCGTTCCAGCCCCTGGCCTCTTTCCTTGCTGTTCTCATTGTCTCGATCGCTTCTTCCTTGAGTCTGTGCCGAATCATTCTTTCAGGTCTCAGTCGTCGCCTCTTCTGAGAGGCCTTGCAGACCCCCATCTAAAGCACCCCTTGCCCAGGCCATTCTTCCTCACACAGTCTGTGACGTTCTCATTTGTTTTCTAAGTGTTTTCCTTTCCCCTACTAAAATGTGAGCTTCAAAAGAGCATGGATTTGTCTATTTTGTTAGTGAACAAAACAGTATATTCCCAATACTTAGAACAGGGCCTGGCCCATAGAATGTACTTGCTAAACACTTGTTGAGTAAATAAATAAATGCAGACATGCCCATGTGCCCAGATGTCCAAGGCTCAGGCACATAAGTGAGCTCATGTGTGTAGTCTCTGCTCCTTCAGTGTGTAAGGATGTGTGTGCTCCTGTGTGTACACTTGCAAACACGCATGTGCAGGTATTTGCTTGCACATGCAGAGTGCAGACCCCTGAAAGCGGGTATGTGCACACCCACACTCCTGCTTACATTCAGTGAGTGTCTGGGTGCGTGATGCACATATTCATGTCCTCCTCTGCCCAGGTCAACGGTGGAAGGAGTCACCTGCCTACTGCAGCCAAAAGGAGCCCTGCTGGGGTGTGATGTCCAGCCCGCCCAGAGTGGGTGCAGCGGGGCCACCCCTGCCTCTCACCTTCTGGATCATGACGCTGTAGATGCCTGTGTGCTGGAAGCCGCGCGTATAGTAAAGCAGGTTCAGCCAGCCCAGCACCAGCGAGGATACAAGCAGAGGCAGGTACCACTCAATGGCCAGGAAACACAGCACCTGAGACAGCACCGTGAGCAGGGCCTGGACCAGGCTGTGTGGGGGCAGGGTCTGGGTCAGCCTGCAGGCCACTTGGCAAGGCCCCCGTAGCTGCCAATGGCCAGTGCTGACCACCACTGTCTCTCCCTCTGCAGACAGATGGAGAGAAGTCCTCCACCTGCCTGGGGCGAGGCACAGTCAGGTCCTGACTCCACCCCAGGCAAGTTATTTAACCCCGGTGGGTCTCAGTTCCCTCCCCTGGAAAATGGGGTAGCAGTACTCACAGCTGCTCACAGAGCATCTGTGAGGATTCAGTGAGACAGGACATGTAAAGGGGTGAGTCCCCACCAGTGCGCAGTGAGGGCTTAGTGAACAATCTGTAAGGGTGGGAGCACAGAGACCCCCAACCGGACAGGGGACTAGCCTCTGGTCCCAACCCCCTAAGCTCCCCAGCCCTGGGTCTTCCCCTCTAAGGCCTGCTTGGTGCCCTCTGCTACAACCACCTCTCCCAGGCCTGAGATGAAGGAGGAGTGAGGCCTCACATACAAGAGAATTTCAAAGTAGCTGTCCACGAAGGAGATCCAGATGAACAGCCGGCGCCTCCAGAAGTACCACAGCTGCGGGAGGGAGAAGGCCGGGGCGGGGCCGGTGTGGGAAAGCGGCTCTGGCCACAACCTAGCGCTGCCGCCCTGCAGTGCCTGGGCCCGAGCTCCCGCCTGCTCCCTGCCTTCTGGGCGCGTGGCAGTGCCAGGGGCCTCCTGGCCCCCTCTGGATCCAGATGAAGAACTCATGCACTGCGTGTGGCCAGGGGCAGGGCTCCTTTCCCTCCCTCTCCCTGGCCCCTCAGGGACCACCCTGTGCTCCCACCCAGCGTGGATCTCGTGCCCAGGGTCTGTGGCCCAGCCTGTCCCCTGCCAACTTGCAGCGTTTTGAACTGAAGAGGCCCTGGGCAGGGAGCTGAGCTGAGCTCTGCCTGCCGCTACCTTTCTGTGCTCTCCCGGTGAGGGATGCCCCAGCCCGGGGAGCCGGGGGCGGGGTCTTCCCCCTCGGTTCCCTGGGAGCAGAGCCGGCACTGCCGAGGAATCGCAGGAGCCATTTACTACCCCACGGGCACCCCAGAAAGCACAATAAGGAGGGTCCCCAGCCCCTGCAGGCAAGGCCTCCAGCTGCCCAGAGGCAGGTGGGGGGGGGATCCGCTATCAGTTTCCCCTGAGTGAAGGCACTGTCATTAACTCGCTCTGTGGCTCCTCTTGACAGAGTCCCAGGTTTGCTCCTGGGTGGGCTGGGAGCCACATGGAGTCGGGGGAATGGGAGGAGCCCTCACCTGGCCCACGAGGAGGTAAACCCCCGCAAGCAGGATCAGGATGTGGCCCAGCAGCAGCATGGAGTTTCCAGCCGTCACTTTCATGGGGAGGACGGCCTGTGAAGAGACGCTCAGGTAGGACCTGGGGTCCCCTCCCAACACCTGACTCTCTGACAGCCAGAGCAGAGGGCCCACTCAGAGCAGCAGAGGGAACCCGGGCTTCCCAGCAGGACCCTGGGAGCCCAGCCTGCCATGTGTAGCAGTTGTGAGTGTGGGAGCGGGAGCCAGACAGTCTGGGTTCAGATCCCACCTCCACCACGCACAGCCTCTGCGGGCCTGGGCACGTTGCTTAGCCTCTCTGTGCCTCCCCCCCTCAGCTGTGGGCTGGGCTGACAGTTCATCATCTCACAGGGCTGCTGCGGAACTGAATTCATTAATACCTGCCAATCACCTGGAATACCTCCTCACGTGTTGTGCGCACTAAGTACTTTTTGGTGGTTTGTTCTTTTTTACATTTCTTGGCTCTCAGTATTGACTGTTGCTGTCGCTACGCCTGCAGCACTGGCGCCGCCCCGCCCTCAGCTGGGTGAAAGCCCACCCCCCCACTCCCTCCCTCCCCGCACCGCCGACCCCCCCCCCCCCCGCCCCCGGCCCGGGCTCCACAGCAGCCTTGCCTTTTCCAGGGCAGGCTGGTTGTAGACAACAGCGGTGAAGATGAGCATGTAGATCAGGTAGCACAGGAAGTTGAAGAAGAACCTGGGGATGAGCAGGTCCCATTTTGCCTGCAGCAGTTTGTTCAGCGGCTCTAAAACCACCATTCGGTGCCGGTGCTGGGGCGCGAATGTGAGAGTCAGGGCACCCTCAGCAGGTATGCAGAGGGGACCCCTCTTGTGCCGGGCTCAATGCAAGGGCCGAGGGAATGGAGGGGGAGGACGGGAGCCCCGAGAGCATCTCCCACCTGCCTCCCCACCCTCGTGGCCAGGGAGGGAGGCCCTCCGCGGTGGCCACCAGCACCCTGGGTTGATCCCCGGGTCGGGTGGGACTGGAGTGCGGAACGAGTGCGGTCCCGACGGCCGGGGGCAGGACGTGCAGTCACACCCCCCCTGGACAAGAACAGGGCAGGTGGGGCCCCCCAGACAGACAGCCCGAGCTGTGGGCTCTGCAGGCGCTCCCTGCCAGGCCGCTGTGCACGCCCGCCCCCGCCCCAGGCTCACCGGGCTTCGGCAGTGGAAGGCGATGATCTCCAGCACTGAGTTCTCCTCCCAGCTGTCCACGGAGGCCAGGTCATACAGCGACACCCGGACGGGCCCGTAGCACCACTCAGTGAACTTTCGGGAAAGGGGCTGGCATGGCCCCGAGAACTCCCGCTGCAGGATGTGTCTGAAAATCTGCAGGGCAGGTCACATGAGTTTGGCCTGCTTGGCCACCTGCCAGCATTGACGGGGAGTCCGGGAAATACTCAGCATCCGCAGAGCTGCGGCAGACACGTGCACACGCCCTGCACGCGGGTCCTTCTGCGTACAAACTCTTCCATACACCCACACATGCTCAGCCGTGTAGACATCGCCTCCCACCCACTCTCTAGGCCCAGGCCTGCCAGCCACTCTGGTTCTTCCTTCCCCACTCTTGCCCTTGGCCTCTTTCATGAACTCCTCGCGTGGCAGAGGGACCCGCAGCGCTGACTGGAGGCCATCAGTGACACACACGTGTGCCCTCCGGTGGTCAGAGTCCACAGCTCTCGACAGACCAGAAAGGGTGACTAACCTGAACAGGTTAAGAAGTAATTTGGCTCCACAAATGAAAAATGGGGAAAAGGAAGGGCCAGACGGGGCCGCAACTGCTGCAGGCTCACGGCGGCCACACGGCCACGCTCCAGACAGCACAGGGAGGCCCCCGCGCCCCGGGAACCGTGGCGGGCGGGAATGAAATAGCAAAACTTCTGCTTATGTTTAGACTTTAAGAATGCCTGTGTCCTAGGCTTCTCTCGGGGCTTTGGAAGCTGCAGGGCCCTGACAATAGGATAAGGCAGCTGGTAAGCCATTTGGGAAAAGGTAGAGCTGGATTGTGTTTACCCTTTATACCAAAATGACTTCAAAGTTTTAGGCCCTAAAAATGAAGCTGCAAAAGTCTGGGAGAAAATATAAATATGGAGTTCACACACATACATATACAAGGTCATAGACATGTAACCTTGCAGAAGGATTAAATAATAGCAAAAACTCTAAAGGAAAGGACAACTACAACTTGCATAGATAAAAATATAACAATTCTGTGTGGCAAAAAATACCATAAAAATTTTTTTTACTGTTGAACTGGAAGAAAATTTTGAACTGTTAGAGTAAACAAAATGCTAATATATTCAGTATAAAGGACACTTACTAATCAAGAGGAAGAAAACCTAATAGCAAGTCTAATAGCAGAATAGGCAAGGATATGAAAAGATTGTCTCCTGCCCTGGCCAGTATCTCAGTTGGTTAGAGTGTTGTCCCGACACACCAAGATTGCAGGTTCAATCCCCAGTCAGAGCACATACAAGAATCAACCAATGAATGCATTAGTGAGTGGAACAACAAATCAATGTTTCTCTTGCTCGCTCTCTCTCCCTTACTCTCTTTCTAAAATCAATCAATAAATGAAAAAAATGTTAAAAACTTAAAAAAAAACAAAGATAGTCTCTTAATCAAGAAACATAAATGATTTCTTTTTAAAAAAAATCTTTGTGTTTTATTGATAGTTATATAATTTTATTAACCATTGTCACCCCAATAAATTCAATATAATATAAAAATAAAATGGAAAAAAAATCCCTGTGTTTTATAATGTAACATATTAGTTCAGTAGTTCAGATACAGTTTATCAGTAAACATACATATTAAGCCCTGGCTGGTGTGGCTCAGTGGATTGAGCACCAGCCTGTAAACAGAAAGGTAACTGGTTCGATTCCCGGCCAGGGTACCTGCCTGGGTTGCTGGCCAGGCCCTGACTGGGGCCATACGAGAGGCAACCGATAGATGGGTAGCTCTCACACATCAGTGTTTCTTTCCCTCTCTTTCTCCCTCCCCTCCCCTCTCTCTAAATAAATGAATAAATAAAAATAAAACCTTAAAAAAGTAAACACACATTTTAGAAAATGTTCTTAATAATAGGAGTATTTGATTGAAAAGTGGGGAGCCCACTGACCTGGACCACCACCCCAGGCTCTTTCCTGGGCAGGTGGGGACAGGACGGGGGCCAGCCACTCACCTCCATCTTGCCCTCCTTGGCGGCCAGCTTCAGGGGCGTGAGGCCCTGCAGGTTGGGGATGTCCTCCAGCTGCACGGTGGGGCAGAGGTGGGCTCCCGCTTGGAGGAGCCTGTCGTACATGCGGACCACCAGTGCACTATTCTCAGCCGAGTTGTCTGCGATCATCACCAGCGCGTGCAGGACGGTGTTGCCCAGTGAGTCGGCAGCCTGCAGGCTGGCAGGCTGGTGTGGGTTCTCCAGTAGGTAGGCGACCACATCCCACTGCTTGGTGCATGCCGCCAGCGAGAGGGGCAGCTCACCTGGGGGCGAGCCGGCAGCTTGGGCCTCAGGCCTCCCAGCTTTCACCTGCCTACTGCTCACTCCTTGGACAGAAGGCCAGGCCTCCTCGCAGCAGGCCAGGCGCCCACAGGAAAGGGCAGCACACTGCCTCGGGGTCCCTGGCCCCATTGAGGGTGGTTGTGCCTTCTCCTAAGGGAACAGAACAGGGGCCAGCCCCCAGGGTCCCCGTCGCCCCTATCTCTTTCTCTTCTTCAGCAGAGCCCAGGCCCACTGCTGCCTGACGCAGACACCCTTTAGCCAGGCCCTATGTGGTGGACTCTTGTCACATGCCAGTTCTAGCAGCCACTCCCAGCCCTGGCCCAGGCTTGGGTATATGGCAAGCCTCCTTGACAGACAAAGACAAACACCTCTTAAGAGAAGCTGCTTTTACAGGCAACCTAGCAGTTAGAAGCTTGGGCCTCAGGGTCAGACAGAACTGGTTTTCAGGGCGAGCTCTACCACCCTTTAACCGTGTGACACCACCCCCCCGACCTCCCCACCCCCGTGCCTCGATTCAATCAAGAAAGACTCCTCACCAAAATAGAAACAAGCCCCCTGGCTTTTCTTCTGGAAGAAGTGGCCAGAGGCCCGGGCATGCACGTTGGCACCATTCTCCACCAGCAGCTTCACACACTGGAGGCTCCTCTTCTCGATGGCGATGTGCAGGGCACTGTGGCCCCGGTAGTACTCATCTGTGCACTGTGCGTTAACCAGGGGCGTGGGGTTGCCGGAGTCCCGGTCGATCTGCAGCAGCGGCAGGATGCAGGCGTTGTTCCCATCCCGAAGGTTCAGCACAGCCTTCATCAGACACGTCTTCCCGGTGGAGCCCTCTGTGGAAGAGGGGGAGGGGAGGGGGCGAGGGTGCTCAGGCCCGGAGCGCCCGGGCTGCCTGCCCGCTCGCTCGTACGTGGGCCCAGGCTCCGAAATGCTCCTTGGGAGGGTGAGAAAAGATTGCACAACCATGACGCACAGTATTAAGGGTCCAATGACTACCATTTCTGCCCTAGAAATTGTTCCTAAGACCTAACTTGTCATGCATGCAAAGCCGTCTATACAATAATATTTGGAGCCATGTTTGTTAAGTGGCTTCACCACTTAATGGCCCAGTCTCCTCGGTCAAGTCACTTGGCTTCTCTTCAGCTCAGTTTTCCTCACTGTAAAATGGGAACGCTCCAGGGTTATTGTAAGGATCAAATGGAATTATATATGAAATGCTTAGCACAGAGAGGGCCTGGCACATGGTTTGTTGAGGCAAAAAACTACAAATAACCTAAATGGCCATGGGTAAGAAATTAATTAATGAAGTTATGGTAATATATCAAATGGAAAACTCCGCAGTTGTAAAATGACTACATTACAGGTATACATACGGAAATGGAAAGTGCTACAAGGTGTAGTAAGTGGGGAGGAAGCACATTACAAATTAGTGTACATAGTTTGTCCCATTTATGTAGATATATATGTAATGTATTTAAACAGTTCAGAAAAATGTACTAACAGGGGTCCAGGATGACAGAGTTTTTACCCTCAGCTTTATACACTTCATTACAATTTGAATTTTCTAAAATGCACAAGTTTTTTTTCTAATCAGCCCAAATAATAGAGATATTTATATTTGGGGCAAAGAATGCTCTGCGATAGATGAAGTATTAAATATGTGATATGAATATTAGGAAGAAAGAAAGAAAGAAAGAAAGAAAGGGGGGAGGGATAGAGAAAGGGAATGCACCAAGGAGGCCTGGAGCACCCATTCGGCCTGGGGAGGCAAAGGTCGGCCAGGCGCCAGCAGGGCGGGTGGAAGTGGCAGGCACCCATGACAGGGCCTTGGCCATTCTAGCGGGAGGGTCCACTGTTAAGGACACACCCTTTAAAAAGAGAGAAAACTCCCCTTGTCTCCTGACCGTGGGAAAGGCCCCTCCAGCCGCAGTCTCAGCACAGCGGGCAGCACAGGAGGCCCCGGCCAAGGGCAGGCCCACCTGTGAACTTCGTGTCGGTGAGGTACGTGGAGGTACGGCGCAGGTACTCTGGTAGCCCAGCCAGATCCTCAGGGACACCTCGGGCAACCACGCTGAAGAGCCGGTCACGGTCAAAGCGGTTTGGGTCCTGCTGGCTGCAGGAATGTGGTTTGTGACTGATGCTGTAAAAGAGCCACGGGCCCCCCAGAAAGCTCCCCATCCCACGGAGCCCTTCCAGAAAGCCCTGCGAGCGCTGCATGCCCCGCAGATCCAGGAGTCCCCCGGGAGTCTTCCTAAAGGCCTCTGCCCTCCCAGAGCAAGCCAAGGAGACCCCACGTGCTCAGAGCTCCAGGAACTGGGATGGGGGAGCTGCCCAGAGCACTAGTCCCCACATCTCTGTGGCTCCAGCATCACGGATGTGTCCCAGCATCTGGGGCTTATCACTTATTCCTAGGTGCCTTGAGGATCTCGCAACAGGCTTTTTATCGCACAGGGGTTCAGCACAGGAACTTGCCATGGCTCCTGAGCTGGGGGCCAGGTCAAAACAGGGCTACAGGAGGTGCCCACAGACCATTGGGGGCTGCACGCACTGCTGGTCTCCACAAAGGATCGAGAAAAGCCCCTTGTCCTCTCAGGAGCCATTTGTGGAGTGATAATGCAGTGCCTGTACCTTTAACCCTCACTTCAGCCCCAGCATCAAGAACCACTACTTTCACTTTTAAATAAACAAGGAAATAAAGTAACTTCCCCAAAGTGCCGGGGCTCCCAGGGGTCTGTCTCACTAACACCAGACCCTGACTCTGGCGCCAGAGACCTGAGGCCGGGCAGACAGAGGTTTCTCAGAAACCTGTGGGCCCAGCACTGGAACCTATCAGATGCTCACTGGACCTGTGTAGAGAAGCCACGCTTCCGGGAAAGGTCCAGGATGGGCCTTACAGTTCTTCAGAATCTATCAGCGTCTGGTGACAAGGAAGCGGAAAAAGTACCCCCTCCTGGGCATGTCACTATTCACAGAGACAAGCTCATCCCTGAGCTCCTGGTACCATGACCAGCAGACACAAAGAGACAGACAGCGGGGACGATTTGACACTTTGGAGGCCCTCAGACCCTAGCTTCACAGCTCCTGTAGAATGAGCCGGCCCAGGGAGCGCTGGCGGCTCTGATGAGCGAGGGGAGTGCTGGGACAAGTGGGTTTTAAGCCATATCCATGTGCCCGGGGGGGCCACACCCTGCCTCCTCCACACCAGGAAGCTGCACATCTGCCCGGCCTGGCCAGATCCACCATCATCTGCCCAGCAGACCACGTGGCCACAGCAGCTGCCTAGAGAGCCCTGCGGGGAGTCCAGCCAGGGGAGGTGTCTATTTGGACAAAGTACTTCCTTTTTCAGGGTGACATCATAATCTTGGGGTAGGGAAGCCCCACAAGGGCACAGATTGAGCCACCAAAGGGCATCAAGGGGCCCATTCTGCCTGTCGGGCTGGCCACCCAGCTCCCCAAAGCTTCGCCCACCTCCTCTCCTGCTGTGGTCTGAACCCGACCACGTGGTCTGAACCTGTGCGGGTTTGTCCTGCAGCCTGGACAGTAGGGGGGCTCTGGGCTGGGAGGCCACGGCTGGTGGCCCATCCTAGGCACGAGGAGGAAGAAAGAGGTTCTCATGGACCGTGAGGATTTTCCCGGTCAGACCTTGTAGATCAAACCTCACACTGGGGGGTGCCAGGTGCACCCCCCAGACACGCCTGCAGGGCTGGACGTGTCATTCCCGACAAGAGGGGGCTCACACCATCTGAGTTGGTAGAGTTCACAGGAAAAACAAAGAGAAGATGACTCCCAGCAGAAGCCTACCATCCACAGTCCCCAGAGTCCCCAGAGTCTACATCTCTTGGATGACAGGTTCAGTCTTAGAGCAGAACCCAGGAGCTCCTGGGACATCCTCACATGTCCTTGACTCTCTCCTTGAACTAGGGTGTGGATCTTGCTACCATCTGTCACATGAACCATGACAGGGTGGGGACCAGGGCATAGATGGGGGATGCAAGAGTCAGTTCAGTACTTGGAGCTGGTAGAGTATGTCCCTATGAAGAAGAACATGACCTCAGAAGGCAGAAGGTGAAGAATAAGGAAGGTTCTGGAAGGAGCAACCCCAGAGAGCAGGGCAGAGCTCAGCCTGTGGGGCCCAGGAGCTTGCAGAGCCCGAGTGAGGACCCCGCAGGCTGTGGGGAAGGAGCACTGAGTCAACACCTGTGCTGGAAGTGAGGGACCCGTGGCTGCGCCTCCATTTGCTGCCTCACCTGGAACCTACTTTCCTTTTGTAGTTGAGGTTTATTTTGATCTGAGGGGGGAAGTCCCGGTCTTCGCCCTGGAACGGTGACTCCATGGGAGGCGCCGCATGCCCGCTGCCCAGGTTTCCTTTGTCCACATCAGCACCATCTTCTTGGCCTCCATCATATGTCTCCAGCCTGAAGGCAGGTGGGCTGGAGGGCGTGGCCATCCTAAGGGGTGGCGGCTGCTCTGTCCTGCTGGAAGCTCCTCAGAGACAGAGATGTCAGCGGCCACTCCTCCTCCCAGCCCTGTGCAGGGGTAGGAGGTCTGGCTGCAGAAAGAGAGGTACAGAAGCTGAGTACAACCAGGCCCACCCACTGTGTGGCACTGGGCCCAACAGGGATGGTGGGGTAGGCGTGCGGGGTGGGGGGAGGGGAGGAAGGCCAAGGCTGAGGAGAGGAAGGGAGGTTCTGGCCTGAAGATGGCACAGTGTCCTGGAAAGGGGTGGGAAAAGGGACCCAACAGGCCTGCCTCTTTGACGTTGTCCCATAGGAAGGGGCCCTGAGTGTCCCTGACTTTCCCACCAGGACTTCCTGATATTGAGAGGCCACAGCCCCTGGTTGAGGGTAACAAACATTTGCTTTGCATGGACAGCATAACCCTTTCTGTACATGACATTTTGCCCCGTGGCAGATAAAAGTGCAGCTGTGAGGTAGGGGCAAGTCACTCAATCTCTTACCACAGAAGGGGCGCTTTGGGGAAAACCGTTGGAAAACCACTGGTCTATCAAACCCCTCATTTTGCTGCCAGGGCGACTAAAGCTCAAAAAGGGGAAGTGGCTTCCCCAGGGTCGCTACCTGTTGGCAGAACCTGGCCTAAATTCACCTCACCCTACCATGACGTTCCTCTTCAGTTCTCAAATCTTTTGGGGCCCGCCTATGTGTTCAGTATGACTCATCTCCGAAGGGACTGAAGGCCGCCTCTCTGTGCCGTTGGGTCTCTAGGGGCTTCAGAGTGGGCAGGGAGACCCCTGGATGGCTTCCCAAGCTCCCTGAGACAGGCGGCCTCTCACCCCCGCTCCCGCGCCCCAGGCCCTGTGGGGCTCTGGGAGCTCAGCTGACAGTACCATCACATGCTCCCCACTGGGGAGAACTAAACCACAGCCCCCGCTGCAAGGCGACGGGTAAGCCACAGCGGGGAGGGGCGGGCTGGACGGGGAAAAAGAGTCAGAGACGGACCTGGAGACAGCAGGGTGGGAAAGGGGGGCGGGGAGACACGGAGCACGGGAACGGGAAGCGAAGGGCGGGATGGTGGCCGGGCCGGGGACACGCCATCCAGGCCAGGCGCCCGCGGCCCGGGAGAACTCGGGTGGGGAACTTCCCCGCGGGAGCAGGGGAGGCCGGGACCTGGCTGAGAGCCGCAACATGCAGTTTTGACCCACCATCTTTCTGCCCACCCTGGGCGTCCTTCTAGGGACACGACTTAGCCTGGCTGTGTCCCCACTGCATCCCCTTCTGCCTCCCCGGCTGCCCCGCTCAGCCCACCACTCCCAAACCTCCGCAGCAACAGCTGTCTGTCCAGCCCCGGCCCCACCCTGCCCCCGCCGGAGCCCCACCTGGCGGGGAAGCAAGGAGCGAGGAGCCCCCTCGGGGCACCCGCCCCCACCATTCACTGTCAGGCTTGGGGCCTGGAGCCTCAGACGCCCCGGAATTGCCCCCGACTTACCGCGCACGGCTGAGCTAGGGCGTGCCGGCCGCGGGCTGCAGGCTCGGGGATTGTGGAGCCTCGGCGGCGGCGGGGCTGCGGGAGGAAGTGCCGCCGGGAGGGGCCGCGAGCGCTGACAGCCCGGGAGCCGCAGCACCTCCCCGGCGCGCCCCGAGCTCCCGCCGGGGTCCGCACCCCAGCGCCCCCCCACGCAGCCCGCTGGTGCGGAGCACGGTCAACTCGCCTGTCAGGTCAGGCTGGACCTCTGGACCACTGGCCACACCCGGCCCTCGTGGAGACACGCCCCGCCTCCCCACCCTCACTGCTACAGCCCAGCCACCGAGGTCCCAGAAGGGGGTGGGGGTGGTCAGGGGCAACCCGTGGGGCGGGGCCTTACCTCTTCGGGGCGCTGTCATGGGGGGAGTCCAGTCTCTCTGCACTGGCATCTACCCTCTCCTTCCTCTCCACAGGCCCCCTAACAGCTACATGGCTCTCAGTCTGGGAACTGGTTGACCCTTCACGGGGCAGAGACAGCTGGTGTGGATGGCCCTCAGGGACAGGAAAGGAGAGGCTCAGCCCAGCATATGTCCCTGGGGATGCACCCCACCCGTCCTCCCAGCGGCATGAGGGGACTTTCCCACCTTCTGGGGTCTCCCCCAAGGCCACTAGTCAGGGTCCACACGACCCCAGACTCCCTCTAGTTAAAGGCGCTTCCAGCACCAGCCAGCAGAGAGGGATAGGGAGGCCGGCATGCACTCCGCTGGTCTGGACTCAACCTTGGGGCTATCGTCTCTCCCCTGGGAGACTGCAGCCAGCTCCAAACTGGTCTCCCTGCTTCACCCCTGCCCCACCTCCACCCTCATAATCCATTCGCCTTACAGGAACTGGGGTGATCTTCCAAAACTGAAACCAGATCACGTCACTCCCCATCTTCATTCCCCCACCCCCAACCAATGGTTTCCCTGGATGCTTAATATAAAATGCAAACTCCACACCACAGCCTGGTACAATCTGGATGTCCTCCATCACTGCACTTTCATCTCTCACTGCAACCCTGTTACACTCAAGACCCTTGCCGCCAATACCGTAGTCACTAGGCCTGGCCGTGTGGCTCACTTGGTTGGAGCATCGTCCCGGTACACCGAAAGGTTGTGGGTTCAATTCATGTAAGAGGCAACTAGTCACTGTTTCTTTCCCTCCCATCCCCTCTCTCTAAAATCAAAATCAATAAGCATGTCCTCAAGTGTGGTCTTGGGTTAGGATGAAAAAAAAAAAAAAGGTAGTCATTAGCCACAGTGGCTCCTTAAATTTAGATTAATTAGAATAGAATAAAAGTAAACATTCAACTTTACAGTCACACTAGCCACTTTTCAAATGTTCAATAGTTACATGTGGTTGGTTAGTATCTATCGTGGCTTGCAGCACAGATGTAGAACTCTTCCATTATCACAGAGAATTCGGTTGGCCAGCACTGTCCTAGATGTTCTAAACACATTTTAGTCTCTCTTTTCTTGCTTCCGAGCCTTTGCACAAGCTGTTCCATCTTCCATCCCCCCACCAAAACAAATAAAACACTACCCTTGCTCCAGCCAACTCCTACTCACCGGTCACCTCTCCATTTAAAACATCACTTTCCGGCCCTGATTGGTGTGGCTCAGCTGGCTGGGTGTGGTCCTGCAAAATGAAAGGTCAGCAGCCCTCTCAATTCCCAGTCGGAGCACATGCTTAGGTTCGGGGTTCGATCCTCAGTCAGGGCTTGTACAGGAGGCAATGGATCCCTTTCTCCTTCCCTTCCCCTCTCTAAAAAACAAAACAAACAAACAAGAAACCCATTGTTTTTCCTCAGTAGCCTGTCCTAGACCCTGGACTGGGTTACGAGTCCCTATTATGTATTCTCATGACACCTTGTACTTCTTTGATCATAACTCATTATCCATTATTGTTAAAATGTATTAATTGTCTGGCTTCACCTTTAACAATGACAAGTGCCTACTGAGCACTCACTATGTGCCAGGCATTATGCTAAGTGCTTTACATTTAACTTTCAGAGTAGCCTCATTTCACAGGTGGGGAAACTGAGGCTAGGCAAGGTGAAGTACCTTCTGAGGCCACATGACTGGATTCACATCCAGAGCCACACCCTTACCCACCAAGCTCTCCAAGGGATGAGATCTTGCTTGCTTTTTTTTTTTTTTTTTTACTGTGTCCCATCACCCAGAACAGTGCCAAGCACCCTGTTGGTACACAAGGCTTTTAATGACTGTATGGCCAATCATAATGCAGAGAGCATTGCTGTACTGTTGGGGGTGGGGAACTGGAGAATAAGTGGAAACTCTCAAGTCCTTCAGAGACATCACCACATCAGGTGACAATGACAATTGGACAGACAACCCTACATGCAAAAGAGCTTACAAAAAGTCTTCAGATCAGTAGCCAAAAGGGAAATCCCAAACCGCTATGAGACACCACTTCACATCCACGAGGATGGCCAGAATCAAGAAGATAAAAAATTATAGGTGTTGGTGAGGATGTGGAGAAATTGGAATTTCTCATACACTGCTAGTGAAATGTAAAATAGTGAAGCCATTTTGGAAAAGTCTGGCTATTCCTCAAAAGATTAAACAGAGAGTTACCATATGACCTAGCAATTCTACTCAGGTATCAACTCAAAAGAAATGGAAACATATGTCCACACAACACTTACGCACAAATGTTTACAGTAACATTGTTCATAACAGCTGAGTGGAAACAAACCACCCCTACCTACCAAACTCTCCACGGGGTGAGATCTTGCCTTTTTTACTGCCCATCAACTGACAAGGGGATAAATAAAATGTGGTCTCTTCATACGATGGAATATTATTTTGTCATAAAAAGGAATGAAGTACTGATACATGCTGAAACATGAATGAACCTTAAAAATATTAGGCTAAGTGAAAGAAGTCAGTCACAAAAGAGCTCATATTGCATTATTCCATTTAGATGAAATGTCCAGAATAGGGAAATCTATGAAGACAGAAAGAAGATCAGTGGCTGCCTAGGACAAGGGAATTTGGGGGAAATGGGGTGCTAATGGGTACAGGGCTTCTTTCTGGGGTGATGAAATGTTCTAAATTTGATTGTGTTGGTGGCTACACAACTCTGTAAATACAGTAAAGACCCCACTGGCCACACATCTCAGCCAGCCGAGCCTGACACTTCTGGCCACGCCTCCTGCCAAGGTTTTAACAGACCTTTCCAAAAGACATCCCAAATGGGCATGTCATGGAAACCATGGATTTCACAGTTCACACATTTGCTGGGGATAAAGGCTACTTAACAAAAGAAGACCTGAAAGTATTCATGGAAAAGGAGTTTCCTGAATTTTTAGAAAATCAAAAAGACCCTCTGGCTGTGGACAAAATAATGAAATTACCTGGACTAGTACTGAGATGGCAGAGTGGACTTCTGTTCACTAGCTGCTGGGCTCCCCATTACAGGAGGTGACCATTTTGTCGTACACGTGGGGCACAGGGGAAGTGGGCA